TACTGAACCGATTTGGCTGAAATTTTTTACTGTCATACTTGACAGTCTGCTGGAGGTCATAGTACCACTTTTGTTTAGAAAAATCCACCAGAAAAGTAGGAAATATGGATGTCAAAAATACAACAGTGGCGCAATCTGTCCATAAAAAATAAACTAATTAATAAAAAATGAAAAATAAAGTTTTTTTTGCAGATTAAAATAATAATAGTGTATTATAATATATTGGTTGCTATGTTATCTATACTACTATATAAAATTGTAAGGGGTTTTCTGCGACCACGCTAACCGGGAAAACTACAGAAACGATTTGCTGATTCCTTTTTGTTGTATTCGTAATTGTCAGGACAAGGTTCTTATGAAAGAATATTTTAGGGAAATTCACCAGAAAAGTAGGAAGTAGGGATGTCAAAAATACAACAGCGGCGCCATCTGTCCAGAAAAAATAAACTAAATAATAAAAAATGTAGTTAATTGTTGCAGATTAAAATAATAATAGTGTATTATATATCGTGGTAGCTATTGGTTAATCTGGCATGTTTTTTGATTTGTATTATTATTTTTCGTAGATATATAATGTTATATAATGTTTGTGTGTAGATTAGACCTCTGGGAAGAAGATAGATTAATTTAACAAGGGTTAAATTTGGTTTTTTTTTATTCATCGGATTTTAGTACGGTTAGGTTAGGTTAGGATTTTGTATTGATTAATTATATCAATTCACCGTAGGTGGAATGAAGTAACTTTGATACTCTAGAGATAAATCATACACTTACGTACAAACAGCACGGGATCAGCGATCTACCGCAGGTAGATTGCCTACCTGATAATATACAGCTGAGAATCAGAATTTTTATTCTGGGCACAACGGAAAAGTTAAGATAAGTTTTCAACACCATACATCGAATATTAAATAACGAATTGAACAAAGTTTGAGTCATATGTATAGAGTTGGTCCATTTAACGGCAACGATATGCACGTGATCGGTTTTTTTGTAATAAAAATATATTTATCATTAATACCGCTAGAAACATTTCAATACGCTTTCATTAAAAGTTTTTTTATATTGACTTGCCGATCACATTAAGCTATAAAATTTGAATACAAAATTATACATATCATCGTTCAGAGGCAAAATAAACAACCAATCACTGGCGAAGCTGTGACGGGTCGGCTATATGTAAATATAAAACTTATTTAAAAATAAAACAAAATGTATTAAGCCACTGAAATATTTCACACATTTTGAAATATTTCACTTTTTTAAATTTCATGAAATGTTCAAACACTGTAAATAATAATAGATAAAATTTAGACAGCAGTCTCATATAATAAGTAGATACATAGTTTTTAGACAGCAGTTTCATTATAATGATACATCATTTTTAGACAGTAGTCTTATATGATAATACAAATTTACAAAATACAGTGATAATACAAATTTACAAAATATCGTGGTAATACAAATTTACAAAATACAGTGCTAATATAAATTTACAAAATACAGTGGTAATTATTATAAACATAAGGGCCCTTTGTTTTTTTTTTTACAAAATTGACCAAGTTAATCAAGGGACAAGTGGACTCTGCATACGCGCGAATGCATATTGACAAAGAAGATTTCACTAATAAAGTAATACTGATTGCAGCCGGGACAGAAATATGAAGTTTTGACACTACAAAGTACAGGGCTGATTTATAAAAACAAAATAATTTAGTTAATTTTGGCGTACGCCAAGTACTCGCTCGGAAAACGGCGTACACCAACGGGCGCAAACGCGGGAGCGAAAAATACCGGACGGACGGGCGAACGAGCTCATAATAATATTACAAACTTAAAGGGCGGGGGTAGACGGTGGTGGTAGGGGAGAAGTCGAAAACTTAGTGGACATTACTCTACGTCTACAAAGGGTTGGCAGAAGCAAACCCTACGTGCCACGTTCACCAACGACCTCCAAACGAACCGTTTGGTCCTCTTCCAGGCGGACCTCCTCCGCGGACCAACATACCGTGATGTTGCCGGGTATTCCGGGACTTCGGAATATGTAGGAATCGGTAGGACAGCCGCGTCAATCAACGAGATTTCCCCGAGTGCGTCCGTATTCGACGTCATGCGAAAAGGCGCAGCGGGCTTCGACGATGGTCCTCCAATCATAGGCACGTCCTCCAGGCATACGGATGATTTCATTGTGAGTTCCGGCAACGACCGGGTGCTCTCCTCTGCAGCGTTTCCGCGGTGAAGTAGCGGTGACTTGACCGCAGCTGTGACCTTTAGGTTCCCTGCCAAATCCAGAACGTCGACTATAGATCGACTCTTGTTATTGGCATACATTTGTTGGAATTGTTTTGGAACTGTGGCGTCCATATTTGTATTTTACGACGTGATAAACGGCAGAAAAACAGAAAAATAACAGAAAAATATGAACAGAGATAAACGTACGATGACGGGTTTCAAAAAACTATTTGTTTAGTACAATAAATATACAGCTATGGTATAGTAGTGTTCTTTTGTGGCCAGCATAGTTACCAGCATAGTTACCTTGAAGCCAGCTAATAAATGAGTTTTAGATTCTGAGCGGAGCGATGAATGTATTGGTTTTACAATGATGTATGTTTTTATATTTTTATTTATATTTTTATTTATATTTTTATTTATATTTTTGTGTCTGTCATCACGTTTTAGGACAGTAAAAGTGCTTCGATTTTCTTCAATAGTACCTTTTCTGATAGGAAAGTGAATCTAGTTGGTACTTTGGGGGGTCAAAAGTAAACATTTTCCAGTAGTTTTCACAAGCGCCGGGAAAAACAACATAAAAATTAAGGAAAAACGGGAATTTTTACGCAAAATCGATTTTCCAAAAAATCGAATTTGGTTTTTGGTGTAACTTTAAAACAAATGACCGTAGATACATGAAATTTTCACTGGTTGTTTATATATGCATTTTCTATACACGATAACATTTTCAAAACATTTTGATTTATTTTGAACTGTTTAGGGACATTTTCATTTTCCATTTTTTTTTAGTTTTTTTTCTAAAAATATCAATAAAATTTTATTTGTTGGTTGCGAAAGCTTGAAAATTTAATAGAAGGCTCCTAATATGTTGTTTCAAAGGCAGATGAAAAATATTAAAAATCCTTAGTCACAATTTTTTTTATAAGCATTTAAAGTTCAAAAATTGACAAAATATGGAAAAATCACGAAAATTAGCAAATTATTTTGAGTTAAGAATTCGTAAAAATTTTTCTTTTTAAATCTAAGATTTGAAAATAAAACACAAGATTCCTTATAAGATTATCTACCTTTATCAATAAAAAAATCTCTACCGGACAGTCAAATTAAATTTTTATGAGCTTTTGAAATTCAAATTTTTACAACATTGGATTTTCACTCGATTACTCATGTAGCGATTTCCTTATTTTGTTGCAATTCAAAAACGAACAACTGTAGATACATGAAAATTTCACTAAATCTTTAAATTAGCATTTTCTATACACCATACAATTTTGAAAATATTTTGACTCTTTTTGAGCTGTTTATGGACATTTACAACTTTCAATTTTTTTTAGTTTTTTTTTCTATAAATATCAATAAAGTTTTATCTGTTGGACCAAAAAGTGTAAAAATGTAATACAAGGCTCCTGATATATTGTTACAATAGCAGTTGAAAAATATTAAAAATACATATGCACGATTTTTTTTTATAAGCATTTAAAGTTGGAATTTTGACAAAATTTATCAAAATCTCGAAAATTATCAATCGTTGGAATTAAAAAATTATAAAATGTTCAGTTTTTATAACTAAGAGTTGAAAATTTAAAACAAAGATTCTCTTAAATAATTCATACTGTAACCAAAAAATCTAATAAATATATAAACACACTTATTTTTACAGACATTTTAATTTCAAATTTAGACAAAATTTCATATTTAAACCAATAATTACGATTTTAGTTATTTTGTTTTGATTGAATTCTATTATTCGTGGGTACTTGAAACTTCTAAAGTGTACTATTATATATCTATGATAGTATCACGGTTTTTGTTGATGTATAACGCGTTATAAGTATCTAATGGATATTGTGATATGATTAGTTTGTAATTTATTATAGGTACCTATTATAGGTCAATTTTTTGTTTAATACCATAGATATGTATATAATATGTCTTATACATAGACTGACATACCGTCACCGCTCAGAATCGTTTTTCTTATACAATGATATTATATCATTGAATTCAAATTTAATACCATCCATTATACAGTGCCCCACTTGTAACCTACTGTACAGCAGAGCGACATCCACTTGCCCACCTTTTTTTTTTTTTAAATTATTTTATTATAAGATTTATTATATTTCATATATTTATTTATTTATTTATAATATTTTATTTATCACATTGATGCCTACTATTATAACAAAATTGTTAAATTAAGAATAAAGGATAATAATTTATTATAATTGTATTTTTGTTGTAAACAAATTGTTGGGCCCCCCCCCCCCAGATCTTTGCTCTGGATCCGTGCCTGATTTATATCGGGCATGTTTGTTGATTTGAGTTATTATTTTTTATGTTCCAATTTTGTGACTACACTATTTAATATTTTACCAATTTTTATTCACAGAGTTGTTCCAAATACCTTCCTGAGTGTCGCCGTGTAGCCCAATTTGTATTTTTTTTATCAGAGGGGAAGGAGAAGAGAATCTATATATTATATACCTAAAATCCAAATACCACTGACTCACTGATCGCCGTATCTCAAAAACTACTCAATGTACGAACTTGAAATTTAGAATAGGTAGTGGTTCTTCTAATATCTAATACTTTTACCGTGCAATAAGAAAGGATTTGGTAAAATTCGCATTTTAAAGAGGTGCTCAAACAGGGACATTGAGGTTCACATTGAAAATTTTATTTTTAACTAGCTGATCCCTTGCACTTCGTTGCCCTTAATAATTTGTGATTGTTTAAATCTTTTTGGATGTAACTCGCAATAGTTAATTGCGAACTCTAGCCGTTGACGTCTGTTGTCTTTCTCTCTGATTTTGAAGGCGCTCGGAACGTTCAGAGCTCGATTCCCTAGCGCGAGCTTGTACATTTCTAATATTTTGTTCTTCAAGCCGCTGTGAACGCTCGATACTTGACTCTCTTGCACGCGATTTCGACGCGTATTCTCTCTGACTTGCAAGACGATTTTCAGTTTCTGATTGAGATTCTCCATGACGACGTATTTTTATTGTCCTAGCCTGTGAACTATTTCTAGAAAGTTGAGATCTTGTTCTTTTGGGCATTTTAAAATGAGAAAAAAGACTAAACAGTAATGTAATGTATTGTTTATACACACGCCGCCATGATGCCGATAACGGTCGTACGTACATCACAGTCGTAGGCATTACGGACATATTATACTAACTATTTCTCCTATGATCAATAGGCAATAGCTACCATTTTCAATAAACAACAACCAATAATTATTATTTATTATTATAATAGCTTTAAAAAATTAAAACCCATGGCAACTATTTTTAAACACAAATTTCTATCGTAAATCTCAAAATTCCAGTTTGAGCACCTCCCCTGGGGGATCAATTCACTTTTTAAATTAGCCTATATTCATCAATGATAATGTCGGCTTCTAATGGTAAAACAATTTTTAAAATCTGTCCAGTAGTTTCGGAGCCTATTCAATACAAACAATCAAATCTTTCCTCTTTATAATATTAGTATAGATTATTAATAGTTCCGAAGATCAGGTACAAACTTGCATCAAATAGAATTATTGAACACTGCTTACCAAGGTGATTGGTGAAAAAGTTGCCCAAGTAGTCGGATTGCCTACCAGGGTGGCTGAGTTGCACTTACTGCAGGTTGCAGCAAGTTACACCCAAAAGTAGTTGAACAATCATACATTTTTAAGATTTGCGATTTTTTACGGGTAATGAAATGAACGGGTTCTGATATAAAAATATATTTACCATTAATACCGCTAGAAACATTTGAATACGTTTTCATTAAACGATAAAATTTTAATAAAAAATTATACATATCATCGTCCGAAGGCAAAATAAATAACCAATCATGGGCGAAGCTGTGACGGGTCGGCTAGTTATAAAATATAATAACAATATCAAATATATAGACTGACAAACCATTTCCGCTCAGAATCGTTTTTCGTATACAATGATATGATATCATTGAATTCAAATTTAATACAATCCATTATACAGTGACCCACTTGTAACCTACTGTACTTACAGCAGAACGACATACAGTTACAAGTTTTTTTAATACAACGGCGGAAATGCGGAATTATTACGTACCTAAAACTAGTTTCTGACAAAAATACAAAATCATATGTGTAACTCATAAGACGAATAACTTTAGATACTTAACATTTTTACCAAACTTTAATAGGTATACTAACATTTTCTTTATATTATGACAATATTTTCAAAATACCTATTAAAGCTATTGGCATTTTGGATATATTTTTTTTTCTATAAATATCAATAAAAAACGTTTAAAAAAGATTGAAAATTAAATACAATGTTCCTCGTAATTTGTATTATATATTTATATGCTATTTAATATTATTAAACATACATAGGCACGATGATTATTTTATAAGAGTATTTGTAATTAAAATGTTGACAAAATTCCTTAAAATCACGAAAATATTAAATGAAAAAGTTGTTCAAATTTTTAAGCTTAAGACTCGAAATGCAATAATAGTTTTCTTATAAATAGTTCATACTGGAACCAAAAAATCTAAATAATATAAAATCACAAATTTTTGTATAGACATTTTTAATAAATTTGGACGAAATTACATATTTAAATTTTAAACGAAGAATAACGGTCTTAGTTATTTTGTTGTCATTAAAGAGTATTGTTTTTGGTCATATTTTGAGTATATTATTATATTTTAAAAATGTATAATATAGGTAGGTACACAATTTCAGAATGCCATTTTCAAAATATTTACATTAATTTTATGCTATTGCCTAAATAGGATATTAAGGACTTCTTCACACCATTCTTCGCTTATTCGGTATTGACTAAATGCTAATAACCATATAATAAATTATAATATGAATAAATTCTATTAAAATAATTAAATATTAATAATATATTGAATGAATTGTAAAATTATAGTTACTATAATATTGCAATATAAATTAATCATAAAATATATTAAGTAATGAAGGTCTTGTTCAGAATCATTTTTCGTACCCATGCAATGATTTATGCAGAACTGTTAGGTACCTACTTCCTCCACCTTTTTTTGTTTACACGTTCTAAAGTATTTTTTTTAATTAAACATAGACATTAGCTTCGGTGAAATAGAGCGAATACAACGAATATGAAATCTTTCCACCAAGCTAACTTGGGTGCAAAAAAATAATCATATGAGTTATGACATACGTACAAATTTAATAGTAATAGTTAGGTATATTTACCTATTTTATTGATATTATTATAGTTTGAATGATAATTTTTATTAAATATATATTTTTTATTTAATACAGTCAAAAATCATTAACATCTTCAATATACACTTATTACTCTTAACGTAATATATTATTTTTAATAATACCTAAAAACCAGTCTTGTTCTAAATTATTCAAATATAGGTATTTTAATACTTTATTTGTATTCTAATATAATTTTGTATAGGTACATTTAAAATACAGTGTTCAAATAGGTACTATTTTTCGATAAGTTTTTTTGTATTTTTATTGGTGTAAAAGCATTAAGACTCGAATAACAATTTGCTTTAGTAACAAAAAAAAAAGTTTATAACTGTAAAAATAAACCATTTCTCCGAATAATTTAATTTTTTTAATTTTTTACACAGAAATCCAAAAATGTTTGAACGTTTTCGTGTAATATATTTACACAAAGCTTCATCGACAGTATTATCTATGGACATAAAATTCTTATTCGAGTTAAAAACTCATACATTTTGATGAACTCTATTTAATACAAGTTATAAGTTTAGCCAGAAGTTAAGTGAGTAATATTAACTCAAAAATTAGACATTATCAAAAAATAAAATCATTTGAACTCATATAATGGCACGATAAAATCCATAGCTTATATAATAAACATTTTAGTTTCTAGTAGATTAAGGTTAAAATCTACATAACAATTAATATACAATATTTTAGTTGTTTCCATAATCCTCGATAAAAGTGTATAAAAAAATAAAAACAAAGATACATCGAAAACGTTATTATAAATGTATAAATTCTAAATAATTGTATAAAAAAAAGAACAAAGAGTAAAATTATGAGTATGAATTAAAGTCAAAAAAACGATCATCCATAAAAAAAAACAAAAAATTATAAATAAATTAAATAAATATAAAACCATAAATGGTGTGGAATATGCACTTGATTCATATTTATAATGAATGGTATATATCGTATTAGATTTGCTTTTCACCTTCAGATTTTATGCTTTTTAAATTAAATGATCCTCTTCTGATATCTCTCAACACCAATTCCACTATACAGACTTCTTCGTCCTTGGGTACCCTGGATCCTCGGGCGCGCCTCTTGACATTCGGGACGTCTTTCTCCATGTCCAATTTAGAGGCAAGTATTTTATTATTTTCCTCTTGAATCCTGCGGCTTGTATTTTCCTGTAGAAAACAAAAAAAAATAATTGTTTTTAGCAAAGTTGATAGGTAAGTACACAGGTAAATATTCAAAAAGTTTACATACTTTTTGATACCTTATTGAATTATAATTGTTTAGTTAAAAATATTCATAAAGTATCAACTGTAATTTGTTAAGTTGCTAACATCGTATTCAATTGTTTGCATTTGTTGTGCTGTGAGCGATGACTAAAAGATTAGTTCCCAAACTATAAAGTCCGTTACAAGTTACTACATACTATACTCTACAGTATATAGTCTTCTGAAGGACTATTGTCCATTCGCACTGAGTTTTATCGAATACGCGATAAGCTACCTAACTATATAATTACCGAAGTGATTTCGAACATTACATATTATCAAAGATGACCTTACCTTAGCAACAGAGTCGATTCGCTCGAAGAAATTTCCTAACAAAGCAAAGCATTCTTCGATTTTAAATTTGTTAACGTCCTCGCCGAAATGAACCGCTACTCTTTGAATCACCTCCGTTGCACTTTTATACTCATTGTTTAAAGTTTCGATATCAATAACCGCTTGCTTCATAAAATCTAAACAGTTTAAAAACATTTAATTTAATTGATATAGGTACATAAACATACTATTCTGTCTTCAATAACAATGAAAAAGTGATTGCGCACAAACCAAAACGCATCGTACCCAAAGTGGACTGACCTCTCCATTATTCGGGTCGCAGCGTATATACATATGTCTACTTCAAGTAAATAAAACCGTTTAGAATATTATATAACATTATTTTCATAATTTTTTTTTTTTTTTACTCCATATTTAAGTATAATTAAAATTGAATAATGAATACTATTAATAGTCCCAGAGTCAGGGTCGCGTTTCGATGTATTACAAGATGTATAGTACGTTTGTTGATATTTAAATCCAACATTCGTAGTGCAACAATTTATAAGTTTTTCATTATATGCATTATTAGGAAATTTTCCCGAAATTTCATAAAGATATGAAATTCAATTAAGTCACAATTTACACCGCTACTGTACTTGCCTGAGAATTGAGAGCATATCTGTTTTTTTGTTTGTTTTGACAACTCTAAATGTAACTTTCTTATCTGTTTCGTTTTGATGTTTATTTCATCTTCCAGCGACAAAAACGATATCCTATAATATTGAAACCAAAACAGAAACAAATAAATAAACCAAGACCAGGTTTGAGCATCGTACTTCAATATTGTTCGACAGTTCACCGTCGTCGTGTATGTATTAATTATACATTTATAATTAAAAATGCACGTACAAAAATTAAAGATGAAACTATCATATTGTTATTATTATTACCTGGAGAGATTCCTGAGCGCCGCAGTGTACTTAGTGAAACTCAGTATGTCGTCCATATTGTTCGTCTGAGCCACTTCGACGACGAAATGGAGGAAAGTAACTCTAGGCTTGTTGGCTCTGGTGTCGAGCAATTTAGGTAATGTGTCTAATGTGAATCCGCTTGCGTTTCCAGCATAGCTTCCCTGAAAAAAATTACTTCGTCAACAGGTGAAAATCAACAAAAACACGAGTATTAGAGCGCACTGGCGATTAAAGAGGGTTTTATTCCGATGAAAATGTAATGAATCATTGGTTATTTTATTTTATTAAAAATATTATGATGTTATTATTATGGTGCCTACAGTTATGTTTAAAAGTGAATCAAATGATTATTGTCGAAAAAAATACAAAAACAGAACAGTAAAAAATGCACTGGAACACATAATATACGTTAAATTAATTATCTAGATACAATTTTGATCAACACTAAATGCAGAAATATGTAATATGAAATTAAAAAAATGAAGTAAAATGATTAAACTTTACGTCATTATGTAGTCAAAAAAAATTAAATAATAACTAATAAGATAATAGGTAATAATATTATTATAATGTAAAAGCAACAAAATATGCACGAAAAAAACTGGTTCAAATATTTTTAAGTGAATACTTTTATTTTGACAATTATATCTTTAATTAAAGTTTATATAGGTACTCTTTTCAAACTATTATTTGACTTAATATGTTAATATCAGGATTAATTTTTAAAACAATTTGTAGTAAAATATATAAGTAATCTTGTGGGTAGTTGTATTATCAAATAAATTGTTACTATTTTATAAGTAAAAGTATTTTTATTTTTTATCTATTTATAGATAAGTAAAAAAATATTTTATAAAAACAGAATTAAAATTCAAGAGTATGTATAGTTTTACAAATGTTGTAATTAGAAATTTGAATGAGTCAAATAATAACCTATGTGACTTTATGTATGAGCATTTTAATAAGCACGCCTAGAAATTGTAATAGATCAAACTAAATGACAACAAACACAATTATTTAGAACAACGTTTAAAACAAAATTCAGTAATTATGACAAAATGCGAAATTAAAGAAATACATTAGTATTGAATGTACATAAAGAAAAAAAATCACCAACTTTTTTTCTTTAAAAAAATATAATATTAGAATTTAAAAATAAAAGAGTACTACTAAATAATAGTTTTAAATAAATATTATGAAGTATAACAGTTTTCCCATACTCAAAATATAAAAATTATAATTTTTTTTTAATCCTCGGAAACTTATGATATTATATAGTATTACTATAATTTGGTTTCACACATAGTTAGTTTATATTTATTTTGAGTTTTTTAGTAATTGTTGTTCATATTTTTTTTTTTAAATTTCTCAAATATAATGCTTACAGCATTTAAGTAGTTGCCGATAAACAACACAAGCGACAAGAATTGCTTAAACGGCTGATTTGTTATTAGGTCATTGCACATTTCTTTGATGCAGTCCAGTTGATCGTGTATTTCCGATACTATAACAGGTAGTTCTTCTTTCTAAAAAAAATTAAAAAATAAAATATAGATTTTCAGTAATTTATTATATTCAGCATAGTATAATAATGTTAATATTGTGCACGAGTCGTCGTGGAATTCTAAAACTGTAACGTACTTCGATCATGAGTTTTATTCTCAACTGGTAGTTGGATATACTGTTGAGTTGCAGACAAAACAGCTCGGCCGATCCGATTATTGACTTGTTGGAGTCTTTTTTCTTTATCAATTTTATCTACGAATTCAAAACAGTAAAAAACTAAGTGTTACCATGCCACCACAATCGACATAAACATCGAAAATTACCTCTTCGTCTGTGGGCAAAACCCGTTGAAGGCCTTTTAGTTTTTCAAGAGGAATTGTCGTCCCATTTTGGAGCGCTTCTAAAATTTCATGTGAACCGGATTTAAACTGTTTCAGCATTATGTTGATCGCTAAACTCCGATTATTGTCTAATATATTCACGACGTTCGTTTTGGAAACACCGTTGGACGACAAAACTGCAGGTGAAGATTTTGCTCTGGGTTTTTGACAAAAAAGTTCGTCAATTTTCCTGAAGTTTATATTTAAGTTAGGAGGGTCTGCTGACGACCAAACGGAATTGTCTGAAAACGCAAAATAAACTATTATAATTTAAACGATCAATTAAATATATAAATGTGGCTCGTTTAAATATAATTGTTCCAACTTTACCTAAATATTGGTTGTTGACCTTGGTCCAGTTCAAAGTCTTCATTTTGGTTTTTGGTAATGAGTAGTATTTAATATTGTTACTTATTCTTCTTGTAGGTGTTGTCCGATAACCATCAGTAATATTCGCAATAGTTGTACCAAGTCCCATCAATTCCATTGACGATGACAATGTTGTTAATGATTGAGTAGCTTTCTCCGATACCAAAAGTAGGTCTGGAGACTTCAATCCCGGGAAGGGAGGAGGTGGTGGAGGTGTCATTCCGGGCAAAGGAGGTGGAGGAGGTGCCATGAATGGTAAAGGAGGAGGTGGTGGAGGTGCCATTCCGGGCAAAGGGGGTGGAGGAGGTGCCATGAATGGTAAAGGAGGAGGTGGTGGTGGTGGCGGTGGTAGTGGTGATATTCCTGTCGATGGAAGTGGCGGCGGTAGTGGAATTTTTGGTGATGAAGATGGTGGTGGTGGTGGTGGTGGCGGTGGCGGTGGCGGAATTCCTGCTGTAATTGGAAGTGGTGGAGGAGGTGGTATTACTGAGCTTTTACACGATGATTCCAGCGATTTACAAGCATCATTTTTTACACCGTTTACGTCCAATAAATTTGGACGGTTATTATTCAGCTCGGGATTACTGTCAACTACAGTAAGTCCAATACCGTCACAATAACACGCACTGTCTGTCTGAGTAAATATAGAACATTGAATAGGGCTTTTAATATGGCGCCGGTTCGAATTAGTGTGTTCGTCTAATTTGCTGACGACTGGAAGCGCGGGCAGTGACGGTCTTTTAAGTTTAATAGTGGTTCGCTTATCTTTTGGTATATTTAAGCTGCAGCGTCGGGCATTCGGAGATAAACCTTTATTAAGTCTTTTTTCGTCGGTTTGAGACCCCGTAGAATGTGTTTTTGAAGTTTTCCTGTATGTATCCAATATGGCTCGTGGATCATTACAGATGACTTCATTGATCAAATTCCAAATGTCATTACTGGAAAATAATTACGATTTATTTTATTATTGTACTGTCGTGTCCAACTATTTTGTTTATCAACTTTGCCGAAAAATGTAAATAGGTACAACAACAGTTAGCTATTAAAAATTAATACAAAGCATTAATAAGTCGTAAGACTTTAGATATTGGAAATAATATGTTTTTAAATATTTACATTTTTGTATCACTGTAATCCATTTCAGACATTTGCAGTAAAATGTTTTGCAAATACGAGTCGTATAACGTGTTTGATATCTATTGAATGAATAAACAATTAATCAATCGAAACAAAAAAGTAACATCATAACCGGTGATTAAATATTATAAAGATTATGTTCATCATTTAAAATTGATATTTATTTTTCCATTGAATTTGTCAATACTAAATATTATTAAGATGATGTGCTTCTGTTCTTAAATAAATACAAATTAAATGTGTAAAATATTGTTAGCAGTGAAATTCATGCATTGTCCGTGATTAATAGATTGTTTTAAGCTTAATTTTATTAATTATTATAAAATATGTATATATTATATTATATATTTATTTTTTTTATCAACTCGTATTAACTAAAGGTATTTACAAATTCAATTAAAATATAATTATATTACATAGATGCGATTATTTTTTTATACAATTTGAATTTAAGAACTATTTATAAACTTTATTCATCGGTTAATCAGATGTAATTTGCCCAATGTATATAGGTAATGTAATCTAGACGACGAGCAAACAGACTGTAATCTTACCTTAGACCGTAACTCGTTAAATAGCTGTTGGTGCGATTTCTGAGGCAATTGATTTTCGTCGGCCAACTGATGCTCTTCGAACACGGTGATTTGTATTTGTAATGCGTCATCTTCGTAACCATCCATGTTATCGATAGCCGTCCGTAGTCCAAGAGCTGTAATACACATATTTGAACAATATTGGTATATGATAGTATAATATTATATTATTTCATATGACTAGAAACAAGAAGACCGAACATAATAGGTGTACCTTCAACGGTGAACACAAAAGCATTGTAAAGTATTCGAGAAAAATATCGATTAAAATTAAATCAATAATTCCGACTTTTGAGTGTGTAATATATGCGTCGAATTAAGTACACCTCTACTGCAGAGCTGCATTTAGTTTAGGTACTTAATAATTATGCTTTGGACCGATTTTGTTTTTATCTACTGCCCATTTATCAAAACTCATTCGTGAATAATTATTATTAGGTGTACATGCATTTGTTATGATTTATATTATATTACGACGATTTTAAATATTGTAATATTTAGATTTGAAAGATTGTTTTTAACTTCTTTTTTAAAGCTTATTTCACAGTAGGTACCTATACCTATTAAGTATTTCAGTTTTTAGAATATAAAAAGCACATTTTCTATTTAACACCTGTTAGGTAGTAGGTATACGTAAAATGCATTTCAAAAGTATATTCTCCGACACGCCGCGGAGAGTTAGTAAAAGACGATATCCAATAGTACAATAATAATATATAATATCGTTCATTATATATTAATAATAATAATAATAATAATATTATACGCACCAATCAGCTCGTTTCTGACGCACGTCCTCCTCCTCGGATTCTGTTCGACGAGTATCAGACAGTTGACGAAAGCCAACAGAGTCGTTTGATAAGCGAACGTGTCCGCCAGCTGCAGTTCCATCACTACGATTTCGTAATCGTGTCGCAATTCTTGTTTCATCTACATTAAACAGCGAATAAATAACCGTACGTGTCGTTAAACCGGGGCCGAAACGCTATAGACCACAGGTACAATAGTGTATAATGTACCTAATTATTATTACCATGCTCCTTACCTTAATGTGTGACAAGACAGACTTTACGAAAATCATCCCGTCCGAGGAGAACACGCACAACGCGCACAACAGTTCGTATACTTGAAGCTTTACGGTTGTATTATTGCATACGATTACTGCTAAAAATTAAAATAGAGTATCGCGTCATTATTCGTTCATTAACTGCAGTGTGGTGAATATCGTTTTTAATTTTGGGCGAACGTGTTAATAACGACATATATAATAACACTATAGCATATATAAACAATATGTAGGTAGTCCATTATCGTGTACATTATAACTAATCCGAATCATTATTTGTTGAAAACGAATTTTACTAGATCGCGATATAACCGCCACTCGTTGCGAATTTATGCATCCGTGTCATTCGAGTACTTAAACTCGACAATGTATAACATAATCGTCGCATTTAGCTTGACTATACAATGATAAAATAATATCATTAAATTATGGCAAACAAATATAATAGAACACGGAACAAAGGTCGTCCCAGCACCCGAGAACAGGCTCGTATAATTAGTATGCACGAGTCATTATACTACGTATAAATATGAAACTCACTCGAAAATATAGCTGTCATAATATATTATATTGTTAATAATAAATTAAAATGTCTTATCATCCACAATAATGTACTCTATATATATATTGTATACAATTATATTGCACGTGTTAATAAAATAAGCGTTTAGTAAGATTTATAAAATAAAATAAAATACATAACTTAAATAACGGTGAAATATAGTTTATAATATCATTGAGACAGGCTCACTTGTAGAGAGTAACCGAAATAGACTTAAAATATTTAGGGGACGGAGTTTTAAATCGAGTAATAAAAAAAAAAACGGAGATCAAAGCTTCCAAAAATGCAGCAGCGTTTAAGATCGCTCGATGCTGGCTTGGAAAAATATACTTAGCAGAATTGTACTCTGTAAATTATTATAAGAGAGGTGAAATAAAAAAAATAGTGTGAAACTGAGCCCACGACTAATGTAGCATGTTTGTCTAAAAAGTAAGTGAAAAAATAATATTATCGTCTTACAGGATGCCAATTATAATATTTACATGTACATACTCTTCTACACACTTTAATGTTTTCTATTCTTTAAAAGGTACGTTAAACCTAACTTACACGTAATCACATAGGTACAACTGGAACTATACTAAATCAACTTTTAAAATATGTACATAAATCAATAAGTTGGATATTAGTTGTTTTTTTTAAAATACGAAAACAACGATTAAATCTTTTTTTATTATTAAGATTAATTTAATAATATCATAAATTTTAATAATTGCTGATCTCTATATTACATGCTCAAATCGTTATAATTTATTTTTTGTCTCTGCTTCAACTCAGAATCATATTTCTCATGGAGTTTATCAATGTTTATAAAACTATATTTTCATACCATCATTATGCACGTATTTTACAAGTTTAAAAACAATTTCGTTAAACTATATTCAAACAGACCATACAAAATGAATATAATTTGTTGCATAGCAAGTATAAAATATGGAAATATTGTATGAAAAAAATGAACCACTGTGAAGACGAACCCGAAGCCAAGTGTGAAGAGTATTCCAGATGAGTGGATATGTATTTCAATCCGGTCCTGGACCTGACGACAGCACGCAGACATTCGACGCATTGCAACTGGTCCATCGTGTCCGTCAGAGATTTTCCGCCAGTCGTGCCCAAGCTGCTCAACAGCGTGCCCAGTCCATCTCTCTGCAGGAACTCTTCGATCCATTTCCTGTGAAGCGAAGAAAACAAACCGATTAATTTACTGGTGTACGATATATTATGGTAATGTGTTGAGCGTTATTATCATATTATATTTTGCAGCGATGGATAATAATGTAAACGCCGATGAGACAGAGAATCTCACAAGAGATTATGTGGCGGGTCGTGGGTATATGAGGATTGAGATCTCCTTAGAGGAGCAAAAACTATTCTACGTAATACGGTTTAAGGTTAAAAATAAAAAAGGGGTACTGCTGCTAACCTAACAGTCTTCGTACGAGCGATTTATATTATAATATTTATGAATATTGTGTATATATTTGGATTACGCCCTTTCACAAATGTCTGTAATCGACTAGAACTAAATAAATATAATATTATACAAGAAAAAAGGCTTGTTATTTTAATATATTATAAATATTACAATTTCATTAACGAAAATATAACATGTTAATCGGGATGGGCTGCAGTGAGTCCACGTCAATCACCATAGCTCACCCTCTGTATAAACACTTAATTCTATAAAACGCAATACGCATTTAATACAAAACCTATCTACAGTGACGTTTGCGTTTGTATATATATAGCCATAATGATAATAATAAGGGGATGGTGTTCTAAGATAGGGGTTGTGTAGCCAACTCTACGAGCTCATCATTAAATCTGAACGACGGTGTAGCTTTTTTTTACACGTCATCTGATATTTATCATGCGGGTTGAGTGTTGACAGATTCATAATAGACATTTTATTTTCGGTAAAACAAATATTATTCCTTGCGTGAGTATTAATT